GGAAATATACCCTAAATATACCGGAACAAAACGAGTACGTGAAATTTTATAAAAGTAAAAAAACGAGACGGGTCAACCATAAATATTTCTCGTTTATTTCTAGTTTATTTCTAGTTTATTTCTAGTTTATTAACGGTATATTTCTAGTTTATTTTGTGATTCTTAAAGTTCATTCAACTGTACATGATTCTGATTTTACCGGAAATATACCAAAAATATACTAGAAAAAAAACGAGGACGAGAAATTTTATAAGGAAAAATTATCCTTAGAAGCTTTTCAAACAAAACATCTATTGCACATATACTATATATACACGCAACATATACTACCGATTTTCTCACTAAACATATACTACATATACAAGGCCAAGGGTCGCTCATTCCTTGCGGATCGTCCGACTCTCCACTTCCCCTAAAATGCCTACCTTCTATGAAATTTTCTGATTTAACTTGCACTGCTTGTGACACAGTTTGTTCTACCTCAATTAAACCTGACACCCACCACGGAAGTAAGATAGGAACAAAAGAAAATTGTTATTTTGGCAGTTGGGGGAAAAAATCCAGACAAAGAAAGAGTAATAAAATAAATTATATATATATATATATTATACCAGATGGACCAAGCTGCAAGTCTTCCCTGTCATCCGCAACATCTACAATTTCAGAGGGAATAAAAAAATATTAACAAGACAAGTGAAATCAAACCGACATACAAAATTATTAAAATGGCAGATGATGATGTTAGACCTGGAGGAGGAGGCTGACCCAATCCCGACATAGTTCCTCGGAATAAACACAAAAATGAAATTTCAGAAAGTATAAAAAACTAGGGCAAGACCGGTGACAACGACGAGACCCGTGAGAGCTCAGACTGTAAATGAGAGGGGTTTTGCAGATTGATGGCGGTGGGGTGGTTTTGTTTTTGATATTTTTGTTCCACTTTTTAAGGTAAGTGCATCTTTAATTCACTTAAATATCTCATTAGCATTTAAGAAAGAATAACGGTTAACCAGTGTGTATTAGTTATAATTGAAATTTTTTTAGTTTGTTTAGGTGATTTTAAAAATAAAAATATAAGGAGTCCAAAAGTGTTATATAAATTAAGTATATTAGTATGGGGTGCAATTTCCTCTATAATTAAGGATTTAACAACAAAATTAGTATTAAACAAATTTAATGAAAGTGTCCTGGGCACTTCTTCAGTCATGCAAGCAGCACAACAACAATTCAAAGAAAAAGAGAGAAAAGAGGAGAGGGAAAAGAGAAAAAAGAGTCAAAGAGCTTATCAATTTTTTTTGTCCAATTGTTCGAGAAGGCGACTTGTGGAGTAACGAAATTCCTTTATGTTTTGGTGAAGATAAAAATTACTCTTTATTTTTTAGGTAATAATAAATATATTATCTCTAATGTGTTTATAGCTTTTTAAAGTGTGACACACACACACACACACACACACACACACATATATATATATGTGTGTGTGTGTGTGTGTGTGTCATAATAGAAAATTTTATTAATTGTAAATTTATAAATTATTTTTTGTATACAAGATATGGAGACATATTATCAAAAAAGGCCCCGTCAACAAAGTGTTTGTGAAAATGTCTCAAAAGGAAATACTTTGAATCCAAATACATTTGAGGAAAATTCTGGTATAACTGGGCATAAAGAAAATACAATCGGAAGCTTAATGGTGATCGAGGAGTTCAATTCTTCTCAACTTCCATCTTATCCTGCATTGAGAATTCCAATCTCAAGTTACAGTTCAAAGATTATAGACCAAGTTCGAAGAGCATATTTGCAGAAAGGCCCTTGTCAACCGTTTGATCACTATTTTCCCATGATGAAAGCCTCAGGGTCATCAACAAAGGCGAGAAGATTTATTTCTGATTGGTTTACTGAACATGAGTGGTTGGAGTATAACATTTCTAAGATGTTTCATATTTTCTATATTGTTATCTTTTTAAACCAAATAGAGGAAAACAATCAGGAAGAGAAACATTTGTTACAGAGGGGTTCAGATCTTGGAAAGAAAAATCGAGACTCGATGTTCATGTCGGGAAATATGACAGTGAACACAATCAAGCGCGCATGAACTGTGATGCACTGATGAATCAAAATGTGCACATTCAAACAGCTAAAAAAAATAGTCTCAACAAATGAGGGATGATTATCGCATTCAGCTCACTGCATCTCTTGATTGTGCACGGCATTTGTTGTGATTGGGGCTACCTTTCTGTGGTCATGATGAATTGAAGGATTCCCTTAATCCAGATAATTTTTTTGTAACTCTGGACTTTTTAAGAGCTCATAATGATGATATTGCTTCGGTGATAATGGAAAATGCTCCTAAAAATTTGCAAGTTAACATCTCCTTGCATTTTGAAAGATTTATCTTATGTTTGCGCCACAAAAACTGTTAATGTGATATTAAAAGATGTTGGGGCTTCTTTTTTCTTGATTTTGGTTGATGAATCGTGACATATCGACTAAAGAACAAATGTCCATTATTTTGAGATATGTAGTTTCTTGTGGACATGTAAAAGAACATTTTATTGGATTTGAATATGTCACAAGTACTACGGCAATTTCTCTTAAAGATGTCATTAACAAGATGATCGAGACATAATTTGAGCATATCTAGATTGCAAGAGCAAGGTTACTATGGCGCTAGTAATATGCAGGG